TCAAACACGCAAACACAAAGTGAGAAGATCTCGAGGCCCGTGTAGCGCAAAACACATTAAAGCATGCGGAGACGGGAACGAAAGGGCTTTCTGCAAATGTTAAGGAATGCATGACCCACGAAGGAAACTCACGAATACTGTGTGCTGAAGAAGCTGCTTGTCAGACGTAAATCATCGATTTCGATAACGATACCGCTGAGCAGCGAGAGCTTGATCTGTTGTACATAGAAGAAGCCGCACTTCCCCAAGCGCACCGAGCGACAGTGACAGAAGCGAGCCACCAGCAACGATATCAGCCATCCCAAACACCTGAATGTTTCGTCACTGTCAAAAAAATAAATAGCGGCGCGCATCAGGGCAGCCGGCGCGATTATGCATTTTCTGCAATTCCATTGCTTGTTAATGTTAAAAAACAGTTAACAATTCCACACACCAATACGTGAAAGCTGGACTTGAAACTTAAACTTCGAAGAGTGAATATCCTTTCAAAATTTCAATGTTCTAATTTTCTGGCTTCCGAACAAAACTTTCACGTGGTCGTATGTAAAACCTCAGCATACTTGGGGACTGAATTCGAGTCTGTGAAGTCCCTGCTCAGGCAGGAAACATTCGCCTCAAATTTTCAGCTTCCTAACTCTTCTTTCTCCCGAGAAAATGATTTTCCTCGCTAAAACTTCCACAGGGACTTTGAAAATTTGCGAAAGTCACGCTAAAATTTCAGCTTCTTAGCTTTTGCAATTCACGAGACAACTTTCATGCCAAAACTTCCACGAGGCTGTACGTGGTACCCAGCAGTGCGTGAAAGCTGAACCCATATTTGCGGGAGTTGTACGGTGACAGGAAACATGGTCCTAAAATTTCTGATTCCCAACTTTCGTGATCCCCGAGACAATAATTTTACCCGCTGAAACTTTCAAGTGATACCTTAGCGCGCGGGAACGCTGAATTTGAATTTGCAAAGCTGTACGTGGGCAGGACGCAATGACCCCAAAATTTCAGCTTACTAGACCCCGTGGTTTCCGAGATAATAATTTACCCGCCAAAATTTCCACGCAGCCGTAGGGAATACCCGAAAGCGCGGGAAAGCTGAATCTGAATTTGCAAAATCGCACGTGGGCAGGGGATCACTACTATAAAATTCCAGCCTTCTAGTTTCCGTGGTTCCTGTAATAATAATTTCACCCGCCAAAACTTTTAAAGGGCCGTACGCGTTGCCCACGGGGAGGGGAAGGCTGAATTCAAATTTTCCGGACCAAACGTGGCCGAGGAACATGCCCACAAGATTTCAGCCTTCTAGCTCCCGTAATTCTCGTGATAATAATTTCACCTGCCCAAACTTTTACAGGGACGTATGTGTTACCTGCGTGTACGGGAAGGCTGAATTTAAATTTGCGGAATCACAATTGGGCGGGGAACATGCTCCTGAATTTTCAGCTTTCTAGCTTTTATGGTTCCCGAATTGAAAGTTGCAGACAAGTTGCTGCGGACACGGACACACACACACATACACACACGCAGACAATCCCGTGACAGTATACGTTTTGTATTGCTGTTACTCAGCACAAATCGCATGAAAATGCACCGCATGAAATCGCTGTTGAATTTTTTTTGCATCGAAGCGAAATGGCAGCCAGCACTCCCTTCGACAGTGCCCGTTACCTTTCTCGCCGGTACCAATCACTCACGGACCGACGAGACGTGAAAGTCAGCAGACGTGACATGCAAACGAACCTCCACAGTAGCAGAGCAATAAGCCCGATGAGGCACAGTGTGACTGCTAAGCTCATCACTGCCTTGCTCGGCTCAATCCAATCTTCCACCCATTGCGATATCCTGAAACGGTAACTTCAATTAATCCCAGAACGAGAGCTGCAATTACCGTGCACCGTGAAGTACATCCTTGGTGAACTGAACAACTTCATTCGCACCGACTTCAAAACCATTGCCCACACGCAGCACTCTTCTTCCCTCCCCTCACCTCTCATTACCCGACGTCTATCCAATTTTCAACGGCTTATGGCCCACGTTAGAAACGATACCCGATTTTTATGCG